AAATGTTGGTCTCATTAGAAAGACTTAGCATATTAGAAAGTAAATTTCATTATAAATTAAGGAGCTGTATTTCACTGGCCTTCTAGAAAATAAGCTACAATTATAATTTGTATGTTGATTCTCTGAATTTCTGGTGAATAGTGAACTCTTTGAAGAGTCACGTAAGAGTTCTTTATAAACTCTTCATTCCTTTTTAATATGTCCCAAATAAGTAAAATCCAAATCTGTTTTAGAGACACAAACTTCTGCTTTCACCATTTTCTGACATATTTATTGTGATGATTCATAAATCCAGTACATTTCTGTGTTGCTTTTTAGTTTGAACATATTCAGTAATATTTGTGTGGTTTTAGAATTCATTTATTAATGCATGCCATATGCAACCACCAGGAGGAAAGACACACTTGACTGAACAAAAGCCTCAGTTCTTACTTTGAAGAACTGTAAAACTGACCCTAAGACAGATTTTTCTAAAAATCTATTGTTATAACTGAGGGCATAGAGAATGCAAAGTCTAAAACTAAAGACTGCAGTCTTTCTTCTCCCCATTGTTACAAAGCCTTGGGGTAGTCACAAGTCTCGGTCTAGGGTGCCCCTCTGCCCACTTCAGAGTCAGAGAATCATTGGGTTGCCTGAGGCAGGGCAGGCTTGGAAAGAGAAAGGGCTTACTTCCTGCCTCTACCATCCAGTGCCTGTGTGATCTTTGGGAGTGGTCAGAGATGAAAGCCTCAGCCTCTTCACTGCTGTCTCCGCTGTCTCCCTCATCCTGGCCTCTGCCTGCCCTCCAAAGCCCTCATCCTGGCCTCTGCCTGCCCCTCAGGGTGCTGGGGGCTATTGTTGGGTTCTTGCTCTCATATTCTGCAGCTTGCCCTTTAAAACGGCCTGGAATTCAGTGTGACGGGGTACTGTGACTTCCGCCTAGTGGTTGTAACTTTTACTTTTTTAAGTCAACAGGTGCCTTGGAAGATCATAGGGGGCTACAGGTCACATGGTATTTTCTGAGTAAGGAGTTAGAACATTTGACCTATGCACACCTGTAAAGGCTGGGATGACAGCCAAGATGAATGTGTGGATAAGCTATAGGTCCTCTTAAATCCTGCTGCCCTGGAAAGGCCAACTACACTTCTCAGAAGGCAGCTTCAGATCACCCAGGATGGATGCAGGGAAGTGCATCTGTTACAGTAGTAAACAATAGTATTTATAGCAATGGAAAGTTTGAGGGCAAAGCACTTCACACATCTCTTTAACTCTCTAAAATAACATGTATAAAGTATATTATTCTGTCTACTCAGTACTGGGAAAACTAAAGCTCAGAGCAAGTTGCCCCCATCACAAGCCTGTGGAGACCGAGCTGGCACTGGAATTTAGAACTTTTAATGACAAATCCTGGATGCTTTTCCACTCCCCTCTATTGCTCTTTTCGTGTTTACATTAAATATTGCTTTCATTATATTCTACATGTTTTTCCTCCTTAGGCTATTCTATTTTCCCCAGTGTTCCTTCTTTCACTTGTGAACAATAAATCTGGTATAAGGGTTTTAATTTTTATCTTGGTTCAAAAATTCAATTTGCTACCTATATTATTTTGTAATGTAACATATTTGAGACAAAGTATGTTGAGAAAACTTGACATTTCAAACTGTCACATAATTTTACCTCATGTGATAGAAACTATTTTATCTAAAAATTAACATATGAATACATTCAACACTGCAATTTTTTTTTTTTTTTTGAGACGGAGTTTCGCTCTTGTAACCCAGGCTGGAGTGCAATGGCGCGATCTCGGCTTACCGCAACCTCCGCTTCCTGGGTTCAGGCAATTCTCCTGCCTCAGCCTCCTGAGTAGCTGGGATTACAGGCGCGCACCACCATGCCCAGCTGATTTTTTGTATTTTTAGTAGAGACGGGGTTTCACCATGTTGACCAGGATGGTCTCGATCTCTTGACCTCGTGATCCACCCGCCTCGACCTCCCAAAGTGCTGGGATTACAGGCGTGAGCCACCGCGCCCGGCCCAACACTGCAATTTTATATACTTTTTTGTATGCAGTTCAAAATATATAAGCACATATTTATACCTTCAAGTATTATTTTGATGTGCAGTGTGGGAGCTTGGAACTGGAGTAAAACAGTGGCTGAAAATTCTCTTTTATCCCTTGAAGAAAGGTCAAGGGAAATACCAGACATAACAAAATTTACCTATTTGTATGGATCAGAGGTTGGCAAATTATGGCCTGTGGGCCAGATTGTGCCTATCCCTTATTTTTATACATAGTTTCTTTTTTTGAGACAGAGTCTCACTCTGTCACCCAGGATGGAGTGCAGTAGCACCACCTCAGCTCACTGCAACTTCCACCTTCCTGGGTTCAAGTGATTCTCCTGCCTCAGCCTCCCAGGTAGCTAGGATTACAGGTTTGCGTTGCCACACCCAGCTAATTTTTGTATCTTTAGTAGAGAGGGGTTTCACTATGTTGGCCAGGCTGGTCTCGAACTCCTGACATCAGGTGATCCACCTGCTTTGGCCTCCTAAAGTGCTGGGATTACAGGCATGAGCCACGGCACCTGGCCCTTTGTACATAAAGTTTTACTGGCACACAGCCACATTCATCTATCTGGGTATTATTGTCTGCGGCTGCTTTCAATGTTTCAGACTGATGCTTTCAGATTATGGTATGGGCCCCAAGCCTAAAATAATATGTTTGCCAAAACCTGCTATGTATAAACAAAATAAAACCCCCCAAATCCAGACCTACTGGGTGCCCAGCATCTCACTGGGTGTATCTGTGTTATCTCAATCTACCAAACAATCCTGTGAGGTGGATGACAATTGAGTCCCTACTACCATCCTAACATATATAATTACTAAATCCCTAATACTGTCTACCTTATTCTGGGGGAAAAGAAAGCATCAGGAAGAATCAAACAAAACTTTTCCTTAAGTGATCTAGCTAAACTGTGAGAGATGCCTGTATCTCTTCTAATAGCTGCTGAAGAGGAAAGAATCTCAGCTCTTACATTTTTACAACTTAATCATTTAGCACTTTTCAAAGGCCCTAAACTCATTTTTGCAAATAAATTAAGTTTAAATGGAGGATATATTTTCTAATTTCCAATGAGACTGATCCAGAAAGTAACTGAGTCCTACAGATTTTTAGCTACTTCAGAATATTGGCTAAATTGGTTTATACTTTAATCCCAAAACAAGCCACACCAAACCCAACAAACATTCTCCATTCAATGTTTCTTATCTCCCATTTCCATTTTGCTAGAAGTGAGTATATGTGTACTCATGATACATACAGGTTGAGTGTCTCTTACCCAAACTGCTTGGGACTGGATTTTTTTTTTCAGATTTTAACATATTTGCCTAGACATAATAAGATATCTTGTGGATGGGACCCAAGGCTAAACACAACATTCATGTTTCATATACACTTTATACATAGAGCCCAAAGGTAATTTTATACATTTTATTTATATTTTAAATAATTTTGTACATGAAACAAAGTTTTTGTACACTGACTCATCAGAAAGCAGAGGCGTCACTATTTTGCCACTCATGCTGGTACTCAACAAGTTTTGGATTTTGGATTAGGAATGCTCAATTTACATTAATGTATCCTAAACTAATGATTCTTAAAATGGTTAATTTTTGCCTTTAGTCAGAGCTCTACCCATGAAAACGTGAACAATTCTGTTTAACTTTGCCAGAAATGGTTGGCTAAATTATTCTCTATCCCCATAAGATGATGATTCCTTGCTGTGGCTGGAGGAAAAACAACCTTCTCTACACAATTTTTAAAACACTATGGGGAAAATATCCTGAGTAGCAAAAATCTAGCTTTCTTTAAAAGCATCATCTAAGGAAGCATGCTCTGTGGAAGGATGGCTACTTTAATAGGGAAAGCCATCTATATTTTTGAGTCTCTTGTTTGTTTTTAAGGATGGATCTGAATAGCACCCAGGGAGTTCCTGTATTTTAATGGAGCCATGCTAAATCACATCCCATGACAGAATGAGTGAGTTCATGTAAACACAGTCAGTGGTATCATGAGTAACAAAATCTGTTTTCATCAGAAGCCCTTCATCCTGCGTAAGAGACCTGTACACTACTAGGCAGTTCAGGCTAGTGTTAACCAGCTCCAGCTGGTCCACTGCTATAAAAAGAACTAATGAAAACACAAATGCTAACTTCTCCTTTCCACTCTGGCCAGTACGTCAAGGCTGCACAAAGACAGTCCTTTCCAAATGCTCTCAGTGAATGAACCGGCGGGTCTGGTTCTCTAAAGTTGTTTACTGAACAGAGTGTGCAGGGGACTCGCTGAGCACTGATGGGGGTGCTGGGGGCCAGGGAGAGGAATCACATGATCTGTCAGTGCACAAAGCCAAATTTTCCAGTCTAGATTTAGTTTTATAACACAGAGAAGGCAGAGAAAGTTTTCAAAAACAGAGACAGAGTACCTTGAGCAATTTCTTAAACACATATACACACTTACAGCACTCTGGTTTTTCTTATGGAAATACATAATTATATCTGAGATAAATTAATGCCTTAATTAATATTCAATTAATATTAATATCAATTAATATTGATGACTTAAATATTTAAAGTTCTTAGGTAAAGGCAAATCATTTCTTTTGTGACATCAGAAATTCCTGGCTGGGCACGGTGGCTCACGCCTGTAATCCTAGGACTTTGGGAGGCTGAGGTGGGCGGATCATGAAGTCAGGAGTTCCAGACCAGCCTGACCAACATGGTGAAACCCCGTCTCTACTAAAAATACAAAAATCAGCTGGGGGTGGTGGCACACACCTGTAGTCCCAGCTACTCAGGAGGCTGAGGCAGGAGAATCACTTGAACCCAGGAGGCAGAGGTTGCAGTGAGCCGAGATCACACCACTGCATTCCAGCCTGGGTGACAGAGCGAGACTCCATCTCAAAAAAAAAAAAAAAAAAAAAAAAAAAGAGAAAGATACTTGAATTGAACCTTTGATTGGAGGTATAAAGCAAAGAAAGAAAAAAGAAATTCCTACTAAAGGTAAATTATTTCTTATTCAGTGACTTAGTTTATAAGAGGAGGCAATGATAAAGAGATGATCCTATTTTAATTCTTTATATGGCTAATGAACTCCAGACTGTTAGTGCTAGAAGGTCCTGTGGAGATTTCTCTTATCTTCATCTCACAGATGGACAGACTAGGAGGGCTTTGTGTGTCAGACTGCTTGGAGGCAAAAAGAACATGGGTGTCCTGGCACCCACAACTGTTTTTCTACTCCATTTCATTCTAGATGTGGTTAAGTGAATATGATCAAGAATAAAGCAAAGAGGGTGCCTGGATAATTTCATAATATTATAGATTTGGCCTAACCTAGCCTTTTAACGTATGCGGTTACTTGCAACGTCAACTGAAAATTTAGGGAGCTGACCTGACATTTTTTTATTTTTTGAAGAGGCTGAAAGTGTGATTCAATTAGTTATGCTGCTAGATGAAAAGGTTTTTGCCTCATCCATGCAGGGCCAATGCTGTGTCTGGGACATTAATCTTCAGTACAGATGCTAACTCTAGAGTCACCCCCATCTCCCTGGGACCCCAGCGCCTACTTCCCATGACATGCTATCATTACCTCCACCTTCTGTGCACCCCCTAGCCAGCCAGCTGTGAGGCTGTAGCAGGCGAAGCAAGCACCAAAGGAGAGCCGCGTCAGGTCAGCAGTGCCTGAGTATAGGCCTGACTCAGGCCCAGGCTTACCTCTAACCAGCCATTGGAGGGTTATGCCTCCTGTGGCCAAGAGGCCGGCAGCTTAGGGAACATCCCAGGCTATAGAGCTACTTCAAGCAGTGGGCCTCTGACTTCAGGTCTAATTCTTCTCATGCCCTCTCCCTAGGCCTATGATTTTCCAAGTTATTGAGGTTGAAAGCTTCAAAGCCATCTATAGACATCTTTCTTTTCCTTACTCCTTAAATCCTAACCATCACTAAGTCCAAATTTTTCCGTCACTCAAGAAGCCCTTCTCTTGCATTCATTCCTCTGCTGGGCCTCCCTGAAGGGCTGACAGTGCTGAGCACCTCCCCCAGACATTCAAGCTCTCAACTCTGCTTCCTGCTTGGATCATATCAAATGCCTCAGTAGTTTGCCCATAAGATAACTCTCAAACCCTCTGCAACATGATCTCAATCTACCTTTCCAGTCTTACCTGCAATGACTTCCCTCCGTCTCACTCTGTCACCTAGGCTGGAGTGTAATGGTGCAATCTCGGCTCACTGCAACCTCTGCCTCCCAGGTTCAAGTGATTGTCCTGTCTCAGCCTCCTGGGTAGGTGGGACTACAGGCACCCACCATCATGCCCAGCTAATTTTTGTATTTTTGTAGAGACGGGGTTTTACCATGTTGGCCAGGCTGGTCTTGAACTCTTGTCCTCAGGTGATCTGCCCGCCTCAGACTCCCATACTTAAACTTTTAAAGTTTGAAAATCTGACTGTGGTCTAGGCACTCAACTTAGAACTGAGCACATCTTTGATTTCTCTAATAAACATTTATGGGGGCCCTGTATTCACACAGCTCTGTGCCAGATGGCACTGAGAGGCCTAGGGCAAATGAATATGTGCACACACAGGCAAGAAAGGGCATAGCCCTTTTCCTCAAAGACACTCAGGCCATCAAATAAGGCCGTCTTATTTGATAGGCACACACTATCAAATAAGACAGAAGCAAGAACAGAGATGAGAGGATGAAGAGATCACATAACCCAAATCTACAATCTACAGATGAGGCAGCCAAGGCAGGGAGAGACTACATGACATACCCAGATGATTCATTTGGGCTTCATTTTCTATTCAAGATGATTCATGTAAGGAATTATTAAAAAAAAAATTATTAAAAAAACCGAATGATCCAGGCATTTGGAACTAGATAGTGGTGATGGTTACAATAATAATGTGAACACACTAAACCCAATGAATTGTCCAGGCGCCGTGGCTGATGCCTGTGATCCTAGCACTTTGGGAGGCTGAGGTGGGTGGATCACAAGGTCAGCAGGTTGAGACCATTCTGGCCAACATGGTAAAACTCCATCTCTACTAAAATACAAAAAATTAGCTGGGTGTGGTGTCACATGCCTGTAGTCCAGCTACTTGGGAGGCTGAGGCAGGGGACTCACTTGAACCTGGGAGGCGGAGATTGCAGTGAGCCAAGATTGCACCACCGCACTGCAGCCTGGTGACAAAGTAAGACTTTGTCTCAAAAAAAAAAAAAGAAAGAAAGAAAGAAAGAAAGAAAGAAAACCCAATGAATTGGGCCAGGTGCAGTGGCTCATGCCTGTAATCCCAGCACTTTGGGAGGCCGAGGTGGGTGGATAACCTGGGGTCGGGAGTTCAAGACCAGCCTAGCCAACATGGCGAAGCCTCATCTCTACTAAAAATACAAAAATTAGCTGTGTGTGGTGTGGGGTGCTTGTTATCCCAGCTCCTTGGGAGGCTGAGGCAGGAAAATTGCTTGAACCTAGGACGTGGAGGTTGTAGTGAGCCAAGATCACACCACTGCACTCCAGCCTGGGTGACAAAGTGAGATACTGTCTCAAAAATAAATAAATAAATAAATAAAATGGTTTAAATGGTGAGTTTCATCTCATAACCAAAACAAAACCAAACGATCCCATGTTACTATCACAGAGAAATTTAACTTGCCTTTCTCAACACCTGGCTGAACTCCCTGTCTTTCAAAATGTCTTCCTTGACCACTCCTGGCAACTGCTGTAATTCTTTGCTCTGTATCCTGCTAGCACACTTTCTATTAATAGCTTGCATTCCATTAGAATAGAACACATGCATGTGTGTGAATACATCCTCTCTGTCTTCCTGAACAAATAGCGTGTTCCTTCAGCACACATATGATATCACAGAATTTTCTGGTCAATCTTCAGTGCAAATTTTCTTCTCTTCCTTCCTCCTTTCTCCCTTCCTCTTCCTTATTCCCTTTTTCATTTGACAACTCCACCTTAAAGGCAGCACGGTGGGGGAAATCGAATACATGTGCTGAGCAGGTGGCTAACATTATTGTTATTTATTTTATTTTATTTTTTTGTACTGCTGTCCATTGAGCAGGGCTGAGGTGCAGGTGTTGGGACTTGCCCTGGGTCACTGAAGGTGGGCTGGGAGGGCAGGGAGCCCTGTCATGCGTCCCCTCTTTCCTCCCTTTCCTCTTGCCTCTCCCCTCTCTTTACTCTCCTTGTCACCGTCTCCCTCTTTTTTCTTTTTTAGAAGAAAAAAAAAAAAAGAAAAAAGAGAGAAAGAAAGAAAAAAAAGAATACATAAAAAAAAAACTGAAGGAGAGGAAGAAAGAGGAAGAGGAAGAGGGAGAGAGAATGGGGGTGTTGCTTTATTGCCCGGGCTAGAATGCAGTCTAAAAATGGGTATGCCTATAATTGTGCTTAATAATAGAGACATGAAAAAGAAATGAGGGAAGAAAATAACAAACAAGCAGCCAACCAATATTTCATTTAAACCTGTAACTAGGTGTGATGTGGTACTGATAAGAGTGTATATTCTGTGTATTTAAAGTGGAGAGTTCTATAAATGTTAATTAAATTTACTTGTTCCGGATCTGAGTTCAAATCCTGGATATCGTTGTTAATTTTCTGTGTCATTGATCTGTCTAATATTGATGTTGAAGGCTCCCACTATTATTGTGTGGGAGTCTAAGTCTCTTTATAAGTCTTATATATCTGGGTATTCCTGTATTAGGTGTGTATATATTTAGGATCTTTAGTTCTTCTTGTTGCATTGATCCTTTTATCATTATGTAATATCCTTCTTTGCTTCTTATGATCTTTGTTGCTTTGTAGTCTATTTTATCAGAGGCAAAAATTGCAACTCCTGCTTTTTATTTATTTATTTTTGCTCTCCATTTGGTTGGTAAATCTTTCTCCATCCCTTTGTTTTGAGTCTTTGTGTATCCTTGCATGTGAGATGGGTCTGGATGCAGCATACCAATGGGTTTTGGCTTTTTTTGCCTGTCTGTGTCTTTGGATTGGGGGATTTAGTTGATTTAAATTTAGAATTAATAATAATATATGTGAGTTTAATACTGCCATTTAATGTTAGCTGGCTGTTTTGCCCATTAGTTGATATAAATTCTTGATTATGTTGATGCTTTTTACTTTTTGGTATTTTTTAGAAAAGCTGATACTGGTTGTTCCTTTCTATGTGAAGTGGTTCTTTCAGAAGCTCTTGTAAAGCAGGTCTGGTGATGATGAAATCTCTGAGTGCTTGCTTGTTCACAAAAGATTTTATTTTTCCTTTGCTTATGAAGTTTAGTTTGGCTGGATGTAAAATTCTGGGTTGAAAGTTCTTTTCTTTAAGGATGTTGAATATTGGCCCCCACTCTCTTCTGGCTTGTAGGGTTTCTGCTGAGAGATCTGCTGTGAGTCTGATAGGCCTCCCTTTATGGGTCACCTGACCTTTCTCTCTGGCTGCCCTCAGTATTTTCTCCTTCATTTCAACCCTGGTGAATCTGGCGATCATGTGCCTTGAGGTTGGTCTTCTTGAGGAATATCTTTGTGGTGTTCTCTGTATTTCCTGGAGTTGAATATTGTCCTGCCTTGCTAGGTTGGGAAAGTTTTCCTGAATAATATCCTGAAGCGTATTTTCCAGCTTAGATTCATTCTCTTTGTCAAATTCAGGTACACCTATCAAACGTAGATTAGGTCTTTTCACATAGTCCCATATTTCTTGGAGACTTTGCTCGTTCCTTTTTATCCTTTTTTCTCTAATCTTGTCTTCTCGTTTTATTTCATTAAGTTGGTCTTCGACCACTGATATCTTTTCTTCTGCTTGATTGATTCGGCTGTTAAAACTTGTGCATACTTCGCGAAGTTCTTGTGTTGTGTTTTACAGCTCCATTAATTCACTTATATTCCTCTCTAAATTGTGTATTCTTGTTAACATTTCCTCAAACCTTTTTTCAAAGTTCCTAGTTTCTTTGCATTGGGTTAGAACAAGTTCTTTTAATTCACTGAAGTTTCTTATCATCCACCTTTTGAA